ACAACTCCAGTTAAGGACCTTTCAACTATTTCAAAACTGAAGAACTGGGTTTAACAAACTAAGCTGCAAATTTTCACCAAGTGGCAAGGGAATTATACTTTTACTCTCTTCACCCTTCATGGAATCAGATCATGCCACTGGGACCAGGCTTTAGGAAGTTACCCAACCATGACTTTCAGATTCTAGTTTGGCTCTCAAGATCCTTACCATTTCCATGTTGACGGCTCGGTTTCCAAACTCACTGCCACTGAGTCATTTCCTACTCATAGCGACCCCCGTTGGGGGTACCTTTATTTAATAAAGGTAGTGGCCTACCTGCTTTGTTTGTGTTCTTACTGTCTCCTCATTTAAATGTAAGAGCCTTTGAAAACAGGGAGTCCAAAATATCCTAATGTCCATGCTAAAATGGTCCTTCATATGATGTTTGACATATAAAGGAGACTAAAATATGTCTGATACACAAAATGTGAATAAAATATTTTTGATTTCTGAAAGCAGTTTCCCTGATGGCTTCTCCCCTGGCATTCTGCATGCAACAGCTGTTTCAGTGGTGCCAGACAGGGGTGAACTTTCCTCTGCACTGGCTTCCAAGTCACTGGGCCCTTGCATTACCTTGGCTGCTTATAGGGTAGGACCATGGGAAACACAGTGGTTCATATGGGGAGGGAACTGAGTAGGGCTCCATTGGGTTACACACAAGAATATGGGAGAAACCAACTCTGACATTCTTTTGAAAATCCATGACCAGCAATATAGAGTCAGAGCCCAAGGCAGTGAAAGGATGACACCAATATTATTATACAGGATAGACATTCTCAGTAAATGCCACTTAGTGGTTTTTGTGTTTTGTATTTCCTTTGTGGTTTTTGTTTTGTTTTTCCACTGACTTCCTTTTCTTAATTTGCTTTTATTCTATTGTGATACAGTAATACAAGGAAAGAAACATAAGCAAACAAAATCCAGATGTTCACATTAGTTTGGCTCAATGGACAAATAGTTTCCTACAAATAGATAAAAATGTGTTCATGTCCCATTGCATTTCTCCCAACCTTTCTAGCTTCACAGAATATTACTGGAAAGAACATACTTGCAGTGGGATTAAGAGAAGAGTAGAAAGCCTCTCCATTTACTGCAGGAACATTGGAGCACAGTTATCAACGCCCCAGGAAAGAGCTGTCATCACAGATCCATACAATGGCTTCATGAAAGGAATAAAGGAAAAGAGAAAATGAGATGCACAAAATCATTCAAACTGAGCTATAAACAAAGGTGTCCCTGCAATATTCCTAAAGGAGGAATTGCCCACAAAAAAAAAAAAAAAAAAAAAAAAAAAAAACACCATTGTAAACTGACCACAGGGCACTTAATTATAGCATCAGGGTGCTCTGTGACAGAAACCAAACCAAAACCAAACCCACTGCTGTTGAGTTGATTCCAGCTCATAATGACTCTATAGGACAAGGTAGAACTGCCCTATAGGGTTTCCAAGGCTGTAAATCTTTACGGAAGCAGCCTGCCACACCTTTCTTCTACAGAGTGGATGGTGGATTTGAACCACCAGCCTTTCAGTTAG